CAAAAAAAAACCCCACTTTATATATATATATGTCAATATTCTGTATACTATAATATCAATTCCAAAAATGTTTGTTCAATTTTCATAATTTCACCAAGTTTGTTCGAACTAAGTCTGCCATTTAGCATTTCTATAATACGTTCTCTGCACCATTTCTTTCATGTGAATAGATCCACAACCATATACTTTTACTCAACAGCTCTCTATCACTGCTAACCAAAGGCAGGCGCGGATTTAGGAGGGGGGGGGGGGGGCACCCCCCCCCCCCCCCCCCTTTTTCTGGCGGCGGACTGACCTTTTCCGGGCCGGCCCGAAATGGTCTGATCGGACGGGAATGGGAACATATTAACATTTTAAAATGCATCAAATAATGCACGGAGCTTGTATAAAAAAATCTGGGGCGGCATCCTAGCAAATATTGTGGGTTTCCGTTATCTGATATTTTTACTATATTTTCTTTATTAAAACAATATTTGTTGGCATCGCTTGTTGTATCTTAACCCTAAAGTGTTGTTTTTTTATTTTACCACCTCCGTAAAACCCCAAGTTGCAACTTTGTACAACATAATATCTCATTGTGGTACTTATAGCTTACCATCGTGTACGTACAATAAAGTATAAAGAGAATTTGAACAGAAACTTTAATTTTCTTTCCAGTTCACAAAAAAATGTCTTTGGGCCATTTGTTAATTAAATATAAAAACAATCCTCAGAACACGGGAAATCGCTTCTGAGACGTTCTATAAGACACAATTTTTTTTGGGGGGGATCCCCCAAACCCCCCTTACGGGAGGGGGAAGACCCCTCCTGTACTTTCCCCCTTCACGCGCTACGCGCTAGGGGTGCTGCCTTCGGTAGCACACCGTTGACTGTTAAGAAAAAAATTCTCGGCCCCCCCCCCTTTTAGGAAATCCTTCAATACAGAATAAATCAACACATTTTAACAACAAACTCTTATCTAGTTAAAGCAGCTCTTACCGATAGTGCTCTTTGTTTTCAATGTAAGACTGAAATAGAGACAATAATTCACACACTATGGGAATGTGAGAAAGTACAAGACTTTTTACAAAATTTTGAATTCCTTCTTGATGCATTGTTTATCCCATTTGGTTTCAACAAGGAAACCTTCATTTTCGGTTTATTTAATCAAAATAGTATCAGTAGTAGGGTAGATAATACCATAATTTTACTTATAAAACAATATGTTTATAAATCGAGATGTTTACAAATGTCATTGTCAGTAGCTGCACTTAAGAACGTTATCAAGGACACATATTTTACTCAGAGATATATTGCTGTTAATAAAAGTAAATTATTTTTATTGAAATTCAATACTGAATGGAAAAAATGGGAAAGTCTAATTAATATTGCTTAAACCCTGTCTTTGCCAAAATATGAACATATAACTATCGAGTTTTCTTATATAAACATGTACTTCTGAATACTTATATGTAAAACTCCTTGAACCTTCAAACACATCTATATAGCTTCTTTATTTCTCAATATCCCCCCCCCCCTCGTTTATTTCTTTTTTCTTTTCTTTTTTTTCTTTTCTTTCTTCTTCTTTTTTTTCTCTCTCTCTTAGTATTACTTTCCCTTCTATACCTCTAGGACCTGCTCTAACCTCTTTTCTATCACTTCTAAACAATGCTTTTATATAACGGACACAATTTAGATGGAATTTAATTATACATAAACATAATAATTATTAATTATACCTGGAAATATGCAGTTTTATTATAAATGAATATTTAATGAATGAATTGTAATGTGCGAGAGGAATAATGTTTATGTATGATATATTTGGATTGTTATAAATTTGGAAAAAAATAAAAAAAATTACAAAAAAAATAAATCCTGGATCCGCCCCTAACAGGGACGCGCAAATATATTGAAATTTATATTGTTAAACTTTCAGCCGCTGGGTAAGTTATATCCCAATACTGTACAATACGTACCTACTCGAGACGGAAAGTCTAGGATAAAACGTACCTACTGAAAGTTTAACAAAATCGATACTAATAGCTGTTGCGTGTCGCTGCGCTACAACTAACTGTTGAAGACAATGACGGGGAAATATACATACTTGATCTCAAGAATGAAAACAAACTTAACGATCATATTTCAGTATGTGATACAGAACATAATACTCCAACAATTATAGAGGGCCGGAGATCTGACGTTAATCGACGACAGACCGATATGAATAAAAGTCGATAAAACGACAGAATAATTCGGACTTTCAGCATGTTTACTTGTATGTGTTGTCTATCGTACCCGTTTAAAAACGAATACGTGTAAGGTCGAGCGAATGCGATTGCACGAGTATTTCCAATAACACGCCACCATGTTTAGGTGTCGTATAAGACACGCGCCCGTAACCATCCCACGTGTAAGGTCGAGCGAATGCGATTGCACGAGTATTTCCAATAACACGCCACCCTGGGTGTCGTATAAGACACGCGCCCGTAACCATCCCACCTCACTCTGCATTGTGCTGCCGTTGGAACAAGTCGGACCATAGTAAATCAATTTTTGAAAACCATCATACAATCATCATGGCAGAAAAAGGACAGGTATGTGGAACTATATATAAAACCTTCCATTTTCTCGTAAACAGCACAGTATTCAACGTCTATGTCACATTTTATTTTGATATTATTCACGATACGTTCAGATATAGACAATAGTGCATGTATCGTTTGTCTGGTCAGCAGGATAATCTGATTACTAACTATTCATAAACAATAGTAGCATTCGGTAATCTTACATAATGTTTATTTGTTGTACATGATTTTGTAGTTAGTATAATAATCTGTTTTAATGTCGGTTAACATGTTTGTATGATGCTTGAGAGGGCCATATGGAAGATTAATCTTGTACTAAATATGTAACCCTCCTTAAATAAAGATATTATTATTATTATTATTATCATTATTCAAGAAAACATCTTATAAATATCTCAAACAATGTGTAAATGGTGATTGACAGAACAGTGAAGATTTACCGTAGTCGTTGCAACTCTCAAACGATCGTTGGTGACAGAGTTGCTTTCCATTAACTGATTTTTATATACATGTAGCCCAAAATATTAACGAAGCTCCGTTAAAAATGGCAAATAACAAACATATTACATGAAATGTGGTACTTATTTCATGTCTGGTAATGTTAAGGACATTCCAATATAGCTGCCACACCAAACTCTATCAAATTCAATAAAGCATTCCGTTAGCATTAAATAATCTGTCACAAAAAACTCATTTTCTATATGGTCATTTTCCTAGCTAAATAAAAGTTACAATTCAGGGAAAAAATCATTTAAACTTGTAAAATATCATAAGGTTGGATGTCCATGGAAATCATGTAAATGTAAGAAAATTTATCAAATCTCCAGAATAATGGCATATATTTCCCCTGAATAAATCACAACTGAGCACAATTCGAACAAGGCTGAGTGAGGTTGGAAAAAAGCATGCAAAGCAAGTGAGATTTTACCTGTACACCATTCACTACAGGTTCTCGCTCGAGTAATATGGCTTGATTTGTATCAAAAGTCTTGTTAGCTTGATGAATTATTGTAAAATATGCAACCAAAATACATGTCATCATTCTCGAGATTTGAAGCATATATATTCTTACACTTTTACACGACAACTAGATCTAGTTGAATTAATCACGTGCAATGTTAATTATTTGGAACTTAAGATTTTTGAACGTCTGCTTTTTTTCGACAAAATTACCCAGAAAAAATCACTATAAATCGTCTCAAATTCAATTCCCCCCCCCNCAAAAATATATCATTTCATTGCAAATTTTATGCTTCGGTGTGCTTGTTCAAGCAGGGATATTCTTACAATAGACTTAAGGGCCGAATAACGGACCCATTCCCCTCGGAAAATCTTGCTAAATTGCTCAATTTGCCATTGAAAAAATCCCAATCCGATGGCCATTTTTGCAAGATTTAAATATGCTCAGTGTGGAGAGGGAAAATATAAAAACATTCATGTCCATAAGAAAACTAAAAATACATTTCAATCACTTGAAAATTATATTTCAAAAGTAGACATCAAAATGCGAGTTATTTCTGTTGATGTTGTAAAGCATCAAAAATCATAAACTATGACGTCATATAATAGTTCGCTATAACGACGTCCGCCATACACGTACCCGCCATAACGATATCACAGCAATATAAATATATTAATTATAGTCTTAAGACAAAGAGTACTTTTTTGTTGAGGATTTAGATATACTAGTAATACTATTACTTACAAAAAAATATATATAATAATAAAAAATATGTAAAAATAAAAAATAAAAACACTACCTGTGTGGTGCGAACTCGGGACCATTACATCACTGATCCCACACACTACCGATGTCACTAATTTCGAACATAACTTTTAGTAAATAAAAATGATAAAACACGTTGATCGAAACTCGTGTAGTACTCTCGACCTTAAACGTAACGTGAAGTTAGAACATTATAAAATAATTATTAAACAGTACTGTTCAAGCGGGGTCTAACAAGTCTGATGAATTCAGTTTCCTTAGCCTCGCGTTTGATTACGTTTGCGTTGTTCATTTGATAAATAGGAAATATTTTAAATTTTTCATCAGCGCAAGCATGTGTGTGTTCATTAACTGGTAAATAATATATTTATATATACATGTATATATTTTTTTTTTCAAAGGATTTTCACATAACAATAACATATACATTTAGTTACACATAATGAATTCCACTTTCACACATTTTATAAAAATCTCTTATCCCCTTCTTTTTTTCAAAAACACTTCTATATTAATTGATAAAAATGGATACTTAACCTCTACAATTGACATATCTTGTTGTATAATATACTCTCTAATGGCAGTAATTAGACCCTGGTATCGTAAAAAGTTTGTATTAATATCATAAATCTGTTTTAATTCTTGAAATGTGTAAAAAGCATAGGTATTTCTGTCTCTGATTAGATGATCAATCACAATTATTCCTTTATTGTACCATTCCCTGTAAAATATACTTCTATTTTCTATTGAAATATTTTTGTTATACCAGAAGGGCATTTTAACTTACCTCTAGGGGACTTATATTTTTCAATAATTTTTCTCCATGCCCTAAATACATCAATCCAAAATAGATTTTTAGTTTTATTTTGACATTTTGAAATATAATCAGTTCCACAATTTGCCACAATGTTTTTATTACAATATGATTTTAAAATCACTTGCCTTTTACCAGAATTCAAATATAACCTAACCCACGTTAATTTTAACAAGTCAATAAACGACTGTACATGTAACATTTTAAGACCCTTTTATATAATCTTTAACAATGACATCTCTCTAAGCTTTATCTATTTTACTATTCCACAAAAAAAATAAAAAGCTGTATATTTTAAGAAAACAATCATCTGGATTTGGTAAAGAGATAAAAAGGTGATTGAATTGTGAAATTAATAATGATTTTATGATATGTATTCTACCGACAGCAGTCAATAATCTTCTTTTCCAGGTTTTAATCAAAGTTTTGATTTTACAAATTCCTTATCGTAATTCAATTTTGTTACCTTATGTAAATCTACATCAGACTCAATACCTAAAAGTGCAAATTTCCTATCCCCCCCACTGCAAAATCAATTCAGAGTTTTTTCTATATTTATTTTAAGACGAGAAATATTTGCAAAACTTCAATTCTTTAATTGCCTCTTTTAATGAAATTTGTGTGCCATCTAAAAGCAATGTAGTGTCATCAGCATACTAGGAAAGTAAAAGCGGGCAATTGTCAATATTAATACCATTTATATGTTTATTTCTCAGTAACAGCTAAAATTTCAGCGCATAATGAAAATATATGGAGCTATTTGAGCCCCTTGCCTGCAACCTTTTAATATCGAAAAGAGATGATAAATTTCCCCCTTGATTTATTGCAGACTTTGCGTTGGTATGAAAGACTTTTACCTTTTTTGTATGCCATTGCCAAATTAAAAAAAAAATAGAACTTTTTCAATAACATTCCAGGACACTGAGTCGAAAGCCTTTTCAAAATCTATAATTAACAACATTCCTGGTATATTTTCATCCGACCCAAAATAAAACCTGTTTGATCTGTGTTTATTATAGTAATTAAAAGTGTTTTTATTCTCTCTGCTATTGACCCCGATGCAATTTTATATATATAATATTCAGAAGAGAAATTGGTCGCCATTTTTTTTAGAAACTGTCTTGGTTTATCCCCTTTAGATATACATGTTATTATTCCCCATCTTTGTGTAACTGACAATTCCCCATTAGTGTAACCAAAATTGATTGATCTCACTAAAGTTATTCAGCTGTTTCGAGAAACATTTTAAAAATTCAACCGTAAAACCATCGGAACCAGGGCTTTTCCCATTTTTCTTATTATTTAATGTATGTGATGTACATATATATTGTTTCTGAAACATTTCCCCCATAAAGACATAACGTCTTCGTTATTGCCGTTGATCTTTTTAAAAAACTTACAATATTTTTACAAACTTTTACGATCTTGTTCTTCAATTCTGCCATTTAAATATAACCCACAATCGGTACATGTATTCCACTAAGGGCCCGTATGAAATGTTGTTACTTTTTGGAGCCATTAGGATTTCGAGGTGACCTCCACAGGCTCGAATTGAATAATAACCTATACCCATATATTTCTTTAACAATATCGAGCACAATTTTGATTTTTCGATTTGATATAGAAATATGCAATGGCAAACTTTGTCTCACATCGTTTTACCAAAAACTGTCAACATTCGGATTCGATAGGGGTCACCGATGAAATAATCACAAAAGAACGGGCATGATATCGAAAATAACAAGAAGCCCAATGGGCCTGCATCGCTCACCAGGTATAAATCTCACACTTGTAACCATAAAAGTGATCTAAAATAAAGCTACAGGCAAAATAAAATATCAGTATTTATGATTAAAATTCATTCAAAAGAATCGGTTATATTTTTTTGAAACACCCCTGTGACTGAAAGTCGAACAAAGTCATTATGTTGAACAAATTTTATAGCCTTTCATCTCGGGGACCCTGGGTTATTCAAAAAAGGTCGTTTGAAGATTTTAAACAAATTTTACCCCTGTGACCTTGAATATAGATCAAAGTCATTCACGTTAACAAACATAGTAGTCCTTGATCCCAGCATGCTACTGACTAAATATCAACATCCTGAGCCTTTTGGTTATTCAGAACAAGATTTTTATATTCAAGGTCATACATTTAAACAAACTTGGTAACCCTTGATCCTAGTATGCTACTGACTAAATATCATCACCCTGGGCAGTTTTGGTTATTCAGAAGAAGTTGTTTAATGTTTTTAACATATTTGACCCCTATGACCTTGCATATAGGTAAAGGTTATTCATTTTAACAAGCTTGATAGCCCTTTACCCCAGCATGCTACTGGCCAAATATCCTCACCCTGGGCCTTTTGGTTATTAAGAAGACGCTTAAAATAAAATATTGACGACGGACGACGGACGATGGACGACGGACGATAGACGACAGACGACAGACGACGGACGACGGAGACGACATACGACGGACGACGGACGCCGCGCCACGACATAAGCTCACTTGGCACTTCGTGCCAGGTGAGCTAATAATGTAATGTCAAGATTATTCAGTACTGATAATTAATTATGTAGAACAACTCATATCGCATTAAACAAATTCTGCGAAGAACACTGCCACACATCCATTTCTTTGTAAGTTTATTCCATATTCATTGATATGTAAACAAATGAATATTTCACGAAACCAAATCATAGAAATTGTGTCATTATTTTATCACATATGTAATAAATACTAGCACTTGCGCTAATTCTCCATATATAATTTTGCGAGAGCAAGACGCCCATAGCCCGTGAACAAAAACACACATTTAGGAAAAACACAGTGACGGTCAGTTGTATTTTGCCCGAAATGTATTACAGATATCTCGCAACAATAAGTTATCGCCACACTCAATATTTGTTTCTTCATGGTTTCATTTATGTCCTATTCAGGTTAACATCAAGGTGAAAATCCTGACGGCCCCAAGGCAAAGGACATCAAAATTCGGGGCACCTTTGTCATCAATCGATGTTCTGGAAAATAGAACGTTTGCAACGAAAACCTTATACATGCCTACAGCCATGACCCCCAAAGCACCAGTCGGCAGCTTTTGTCTCATCAGAAATTGGGTAGTTGAGGAATTTATAAGGGCTACACAAAAGTCAATGGTAAGTTTACTTTAATTTTTGTGTCGCCTACGGCGGATGTCTGAAAGACACATAGGCGTTGCTTTTCCGACGGCGACGTCAACAATGTTAAGGTTTTGCGTTTTTTGTTTCTGACAAAGCTACACCAACAAAACCTTCGATCAATGACCAATGACAATTGTTTTATTCTTATAAACAATAACAATAAAGTGTAGATCATAGATGAAGCATGGGTAGTGGAGCCTACTACACTAAATACATTTCATTGATTTCTGATTTTTTTTGGTAAAACCCCCAAATTTCTGGACTTAGAAAAAACTCAACATTAAGGTTTTGTGTTTAGCTCGTGCATATTAGGCTCTTTTTTAAAAGTATAAGAGCTAAACAAACCAAACCCCAATCATACATGTAGCATGGGTAGTAGAGCCTACTACTCTAAAAACATTTCATGGATTTCTGCACTTTTTCGGATTAAAACCTTAAATTTCTGGACTTTAAAAAAACTCAATGTTATGATTTTGCGTTTAGGTCCGTTTCCTTATGTACTATGTCAAATGCTTATTATATTGACAAAGCGTGACAGGCGACTCATAAATACGCGTAATTCTTGTTTAAAATATTATCACATACTATTAGTCCCCTACCGGTGAAGCCGGGGGGACTATCGGTTTTGTCTGCGTCCGTCCGTCCGTCCGTCGCCAAAATTTGCAGGTTAAAGTTTTGTAATGGCTTACCATTCACTTAATAATGATGTTAGGATGCTGAGTCTTGGCATAGAGGTTCTTTAGGGATCTAGCTTTAATGTTGTTTAGTAAAAGTGAATAAATAATTTTATTTTTGACATGATTTGGACTTGACTTGATTTGGACTTGACTATCTTGGCCAAAATCTGAAGGTTAAAGTTTGGGGGGCTGGTAGGGGACATGTATTGACTCATCAATACCCACAGAATGCTTGTTTTCAATGCATTTTGCTCATTTGCACATGGCTAATATCAACTTACCTATTTCCATTGTACTGCTTATGACCAGCATGCCAACTGTCGATAATACTGGGCCATTTTTGGGGGTGTCGCATGTACCACATTCATGTAAAGGGGCCAAATATATCACTTTGCATAAAATGCTGCATGAAAACATCCTACAATATCAACATTTCATGTAACAATATTTTAACACACTAGGCGATGCATGACAAAACAAATGCAAATATATATGTATATTTTGTCTATCCTTGCATTTTGCTCATTAAGCTTTTACATCGTGCATTATTTCATTAATGTAATAAAAATATATCGCATCGTCCCATAGCCATTTCTTACACAAATGCTTTATATAATGATGCTCTCCACAGATTATGGCATGTGGGCCTTTCCTCTTTGACCGGAAAGTGGAGGAAGATTTCCTCGCACCGGAAGTAATGGCCATATCTGAGGCACAGGCGTGCCCGCCAAAAAGGCGCCTAAGTCTCTCGGGAACATTGGTGTCTGTAAGTTGTAATAAGTTAACTTAATCACAATGTTACATTATTATTTCTGTACAAAACGAAACATTTCCTGTTGGTGCTTTCTCTTTCAGGGTTTTATGTCGTGTGTGTAGGCCCTGTTACAACAATGCATAAACAACTAAAAACAATTTTATATTATCCTTATTTTAGGTTCTGTTTCCCACATTTGATTCAAGGAATATCTTTTTACAAGTTTCCAGGCATTATACTCCATGTGGAGCTTTCATAGTATCCCCGTCCATGATTGGTTGGTTTTATTTTGCTTAACATTCTATTAACGGCCATGTCCAAGAATATAATCTTAACACATATATAACATCACATTGAATTGGTTCAGATCAAACTCTGCAAATCCATGTGCTTATTGAAACCATCTCATTTTTATCGCCCGCTTTCACCTAAACGGGGGATATTAATTATGGTTTGTCCGTCTGTCACTCTCCGTTTCTGTGCAATTACTGAAACACATGTTAACCAATTTTCTTAAAATTTAGTTTATACAGGGTTAAATAAATATTTCTGGCTCGGCCAAGTTCATTTACCGCTTGAAGTAGACTTTTGGTTATGAACCCTTGAATAACAGTAAACGTCACAATCTCCCAATTCTGTGCAATAACTGCATCATATTATCCAATTTCCGTCAATCTTTGTTCCACGGTTCAATGCTTTAACTTCTGTATAAGACTTTTTTCCTCGAGTTTAAAGTTATATACATTATCTCTCAACAGCGCGACACTTGCATGTTTAAACCAAACCTTGATATTGGGTTACCTACAATATGTCCTGCAAACGGGGGCTATACATTCCACAAATTTCCATGCTACTGCAAGATATTGAAACCTTTACATATTACGGGAAAAATAGCTAAATGAAAAATTGTTCGCTTATCACTTTGCAATTTTCAAAACAACACCATTTTCTTAAATCGGTACATGTAACGCTACTGATGCTATTTCCCAATTCCAGCTCATGATCATAACCTTATTCCCATAATATATAGCTGGCATTAAATTTCATGATCTGTTTCATAACGGAGACATCAGCTGTCCTGACGACGGAAACGTCGAGGAGGGAGGTTTTCCGCCTACAAGACGGCGGTGCCCAGGAGTTTGCAGTGAAACTCTGGGGGGAGGAAGTAGACCTACCTCTCCCCACTAATGGATCAACAGTAGTCGTTGCGTGCATTACGATTGCCGAGTTTGGAGGAAAGAAAGGGGCCAGCTCGACAGGACGGTATGTATCATAAAACTCTGCTCACTTCTGAATACAAGTGCCCCATTAGCAAAGACACAAAGTGAAAACCTAGACGATGGCAAAAATGTCCACAATCAACTCTTTCCCACACAGCTTTATGAAATCCTCATTTATACTGGTAATGGCCCTAAAGCTTCCTTCCTGAAAATGTAAATCATGTTGCCTCAAAGGCACTTGACTGATTATCATTATCATTTGGCGTATTGCCAATTCATACACTGACAATCCACAATCGGCCTGTGGGGCGATGCCAAAACAAACAACTTGGCAACACAAGAATTCCCCCCATAATTGTTCAGGAGATGAGAGATTTTAAGACTCAAGTTTTGCACTTGTGTCTCACGCAGTCGGGCTAAATCGATCAATTGGAATAACACTACTGTTTATACAAGATGTTGTCTCCTTTGCATTGCGACCCATGCAAGTAAAACTTTCTTTAAAAGGCGTCTCTGCATGGGGCTGCCCACGGTTATTGCCATTTCACATCGCCAAATCGTTCATGCTTCATGATACACTTAATTAATTTCCCAGACCAATTACATCAATGAGTTCCTATTTCTCTTTTCAGGAAATTGCAGACGATGTGCCATTTGAGGGCACTATAGATGCCATATCCATTGACGAGTATGTATCGGTGCTAACGCCATCTTCCACACCAAAACCCTGTCCCTAATTCAAATCCCCTCATGGCTCGCCCCCAACTCCAGCCACTTTGTCCAATCACATGCTGCTGAAAGTTTTCAATGAATTTTTGTTTGCTGTTGTATATGTAATAACTCTACATTATGCTGATATTGCATAATTCTTTCATATATTTTAATGTAACGCCCCCATCTCTTACAAAATTGTCATCCGACTAGATATAATCATATTTGGCATGTTAACCATTTATATCAGACTAATGTTTTCCATTCCTACTCATACCTATCTGAACACAAATGCAACTGAAACCAGATATTTTTACCAATCAATCATTACAAAGTATTTATATCCTTTCAAAAAAAACTTTGCTTCTGTGTGTCCCACTGCTTTGCATCATATGTTAACCTACTGTTGCCAACAATACCACCAACTATTTTCCGCACCACATCGTTGATGGCCTTTCAATTACTTGAATATCAACCCCACTCCATTTAATTTAAATTTTCCATGTCTCAACATACATTTTTATTATCGTATGACTTATCTGTTTTATTTCCATCGCAGCGATGAAGCAACGCTAGTGTTGCAGGATGCTGAAGAACTTCTCAATCAATCATTGCCTCAACTCGAACGCGTATTCCCAAATTTAGAATTTATTCCAAACACTACAGTCAAGGGACTAAGGACTGGATTCAAAATTCACACATTGTAGGTACACCATTTCATTTTAATCTGTACTAGAACAGTACATGTACAAAATCATTGAACACATTCATTGCCTATTTAAGATCATTCCAAACAGGAAAACATACATCTTAGGCAGTGACATACCGAGTATGTACAGAAAATGTACACACTACACATGTTCTCATAAATTACAGTTTGCTAGGATTTTCTACAAACACCAACAGACTAACAGATAAAATATCACACAATATTACATATTTCATGTTACCCATTACGTTGGAGACGCATCAAAATATCATTACTATCAGTGTCATGCTAAATTCCTACCAAACCAGCATGTTTGCATACTCACATTAGATGCAATATCTGATGCATACTATGAACAATTCCACCCATTTTAAAATTATGCAAATTAAGCTATGTTTATAATCCAATTCAATAATGCATTATATAAATCATTTGATGCTATTTCCATTTGCTGGCAAATGTTATTAATACATTTTACATAACCGATAACTTTTAATACTGATACATAAATTGATATATCCACTTTCATATATTCTCAATTTTTATACGACCGTCAAATTTGACGGTAGTATTATGGTATGACGTTGTCCGTCCGTCCGGTGTAAACTTTGTTTGTCCGACAATCTCCTCCTACATTTTTCGACTGATCTCTTTGAAACTTGGTATACATTAATATTATAATCATGATAGGAAGTTGTCTCCCTTAAAAGAATTTTGATTCGACAATTTTTCAAGAAGTTATTGCCCTTTGTTCATTTCAGTATTTGAATTTTGTCAGATCTCCTCTTACATTTTTCGACTGATCTATTTGAAACTTGGTATACATTAATATTATAATCATGATAGGAAGTTGTCTCCCTTAAAAGAATTTTGATTCGATAATTTTTACAAAAGTTTTTGCCCCTAGTTCATTTCAGTATTTCATTTTTTGTCTGAAGATTTTCTCCTACATTTTTTATAGCATATCGGCTAACCACTCTTAGAATGATGCAGATCTAATTTCAATGTAAGAAAGTATATAACACTATATGGCATTCGACGGGCGTATTTTGTTCCGCCCCGCGGTACTCATGTTTATTTTATTGACCTATAAGAAATTAAACATTTTTAATTTATACTTTGCCCACAATATTTTCAGTATGCTCATTCCTAACATCTTGACATTTTCTTATTGCAGGGAACCTGCTGACCTAATATAAAGATCCAAAGCTGCTGACTAAATATAAAGATCCAAGGAACGCTAAACATACCATGGATTTACTATCGATGCCTATCTATGCTTTCATTATTAATATATACATCCAAGGAACAATGAATATTCCATGGGTTAACTATCTATGTTTTCATTATTTATATAAACATCCAAGGAACACTGAACATTCCCTTGGTCTACTATCTATGCTTTCTTTTCTAATATATACATCCATGGAACAATGAACATTCCATGGGTTTACTATCTAAGCTTTCTCTCCCAATATAAACATCCAAGGAACAATGACCATTCCATGAGTTTACTATCTATGCTTTCATTATTGATATGAAAGCATACATAGTACACCCATGGAATGTCCAGTGTTCCTTGGATGTTTATTTCAGGAAGGAAAGTATAGATAGTAAACCCATGGAATGTTTAGGGGAGGTCAGAATGCCCAGCTGGCTGAGCTTGAGATAGGAATAAATTAGATAGGGAAGGGGGACCCTCTGTTAACTGTGTTGCTGTCAGGACAGTGAGGTTATGGAAGGTCAGAATGCCCAGCTAGCTGAGCTTGAGATAAGAATAAATTAAGTAGGAAGGGCAGGCCCTTTGTTCAGTGTGTTGCTGTCAGGAAAGAGTTTATTGAAGGACAGAATGCCCAGCTGACTGAGAGCTTGAGATAAGAATGAATTCGGTAGGGAGTGGAGACCCTTTGTTTACTGTGTTGCTGTCAGGACAATGGGGTTAGGACAGAATGCCCAGCTGGCTGAGCTTGAGATAAGAATAAATTCGGTAGGGAGTGGAGACCCTTTGTTTACTGTGTTGCTGTCAGGACAGTGATGTTATGGAAGGTCAGAATGCCCAGCTGGCTGAGCTTGAGATAAGAATAAATACGGTAGGGAGGGGACCCTTTGTGTACTGTGTTGCTGTCAGGACAGTGATGTTAATGAAGGTCAGAATGCCCAGCTGGCTGAGCTTGAGATAAGAATAAATTAAGTAGGGAGGGGAGACCCTCTGTTTACTGCGTTAATGTCCGGACAGAGAGGTTAGGGAAGGTCGGATTGCCCAGCTGGCTGAGCTTGAGAGAAGAATAAATACGGTAGGGAGTGGACCCTTTGTTTACTGTGTTGCTGTCAGGACAGGGAGGTTATTGAAGGACAGAATGCCCAGCTGGCTGAGCTTGAGATAAGAATAAATTGGGTAGCGACGGGACCCTTTGTTTACTGTGTTGCTGTCAGGACAATGGGGTTAAGGGAGGTCAGAATGCCCAGCTTGCTGAGTTTGAGATAAGAATTAATAAAGTAGGGAGGGGAGACCCTCTGTTTACTGTGTTGCTGTTAGGACAGAGAGGTTATTGAAGTACAGAATGCCCAGCCGACTGAGCTTGAGATAAGAATAAATTCGGTAGGGAAGGGAGACCCTCTGTTTACTGTGTTGCTGTCAGGACAATGGGGTTTATTAGGGAGGTCAGAATGCCCAGCTGGCTGAGCTTGATAAAGAATAATCTTGACCCCTGCATTACTAATTGGTTGGATGCATGTCCTTTCTATGACCGGTGATCATGTCCTGCAGATAGGGGAGAGGTCTTGTGAAAATACCGTTTAGAACCCAGGTGTCCATGTGAATTAATATTTATGTTGATAGGGAACCGATGGACCATATATACATTCTACACTACATCTGCTCAGATGTTTACTTATAATAAGATGAAAGTAGATGAAAGGCAGCCCCTTCTATGCTGTGAAAACCTGCTTAATTATTTAGGGCATTATAACTCTTAAGAAGCATCACATACATTAAAAAATATGAAACATGGGAAAAGCCCTGGTTCTGATGGTTTTACGGTTGAATTTTTAAAATGTTTCTGGAAACAGCTGAATAACTTTATAGTGAGATCAATCAATTTTGGTTACGCTAATGGACAATTGTCAGTTACACAAAGACAGGGAATAATAACATGTATACCTAAAGGGGATAAACCAAGACAGTTTCTAAAAAATTGGCGACCAATTTCTCTTCTGAATATTATATATAAAATTGCATCAGGGTCAATAGCAGGGAGAATAAAAACAGTCTTAAATAGTATAATAAACACAGATCAAACAGGTTTTATTTCGGGTCGTTATGTTGGGGAGAATACTAGGTTAATTTATGATGTCATGCAATATACAGATGAAAATAATATACCAGGAATGTTGTTAATTATAGATTTTGAAAAGGCTTTCGACTCAGTGTCCTGGAAATTTATTGAAAAAGTTCTTGATTATTTTAAATTTGGCAATGGCATAAAAAAATGGGTAAAAGTCTTTCATACAAACGCAAAGTCTGCAATAAATCAAGGGGGAAATTTATCATCTTTTTTCGATATTAAAAGAGGTTGCAGGCAAGGGGATCCAATAGCTCCATATATATTCATATTATGCGCTGAAATTTTAGCTGTAAGACTGAGAAATAATAAACATATAAATGGTATTAATATTGACAATTGCCCGCTTTTACTTTCCCAGTATGCTGATGACACTACATTGATTTTAGATGGCACACAAATTTCATTAAAAGAGGCAATTAAAGAATTGAAAAGTTTTGCAAATATTTCTGGACTCAAAATAAACATAGAAAAGACACATGTTATTTGGATAGGTAGTAAAAAATACAGTGATGAAATTCTTTATCCTGAATTGAATTTGCAGTGGGGGGATAGGAAATTTACACTTTTAGGTATTGAGTTTGATGTAGATTTACATAGGATAACAAAATTGAATTACGATAAGAAATTTGTAAAACTCAAAACTTTGATTAAAACCTGGAAAAGAAGATTGTTGACTCCTATTGGTAGGATACATATCATAAAATCATTATTAATTTCACAATTCAACCACCTTTTTATCTCTTTACCAAATCCAGATGATTGTTTTCTTAAAAAATTAAATATAGAGCTTTTTAATTTTCTGTGGAATAGTAAAATAGATAAAGCTAAGAGAGATGTCATTGTTAAAGATTATGTAAAAGGGGGTCTTAAAATGTTACATGTACAGTCGTTTATTGACTCGTTAAAATTAACGTGGGTTAGGAGGTTATATATGAATTCTGGTAAATGGCAAGTGATCTTAAAATTATATTGTGATAAAAACATTCTGGCAAATTGTGGAACTGATTATATTTCAAAATGTCAAAATAAAACTAAAAATCTATTTTGGATTGATGTATTTAGGGCATGGAGAAAAATTATTGAAAAATATAAGTCCCCTAGCAGTAATTTCAAAATGCCCATCTGGTATAATAAAAATATTTCAATAGAAAATAGAAGTATATTTTACAGGGAATGGTACAATAAAGGAATAATTGTAATTGATGATCTAATCAGAGACAGAAATACCAATGCTTTTTACACATTTCAAGAATTCAAACAGATTTATGATATTAATACAAACTTTTTGCGATACCAGGGTCTAATTACTGCCATTAGAGAGTATATTATACAACAAGATATGTCAAATGTAGAGGTTAACTATCCATTTTTACCAATTAATATAGAAATGTTTTTGAAAAACAAAAAGGGGATAAGAGATTTTTATAGCTTATTTTGTAAAAATGATACTATTTCAACAGGTAAAAAAAAATGGGATGATATATTTCAATTTGATGATGAAGTTTGGAAAAAAATATATATTATGCCATTTAGAATTACGAAAAATACCAAATTACAGTGGTTTCAGTACAGAATTAATCAGCACATTTTGACAACTAATGCATATTTGTTTAAGGCAGGAATAGTAGATAGCCCTTACTGTGAACTGTGTAAACTAGAAATAGAGACAATAGAGCATGTATTATGGGAATGTGACAAAGTACAAAATCTTTTACAAAATTTTGAGTTCTTATTAGATGCATTGATTATTCCATTTGATTATAATAAACAAACATTTCTTTTTGGTTTTTA